TCTGTGGGACCCACCATGTACTTGCGTCGCGTGCGGGGGATGGAATTGTGGCGAGCGAGTTTGTCCGACTGATCAGCTACAAGCGTTTACCAATTTTTAGGTCTTCAAGATCAATTGAGGTCTTCTATTTGAAATTGAGCCACTCAATTTTGACCAGATCAACAATATTTAATACACGATGCTTCTGAATTTTAGAGCCCTCCCATTAAATTGAGGTGTTAGAGTATCTCTAGCAGACCCCGTATAAGTGGTCAAACCCGCATAATTTTTGCGTTTTACAGTTTTGGTCAAAAAATTGTGCAGAACAGAAACCGCAAAAGTGGTCCAACCCGTAAATTTTTTAAGGGCCACCGAAAATGCACAACCGAAACCCTTATATTTGAAGGTTGGAAGGCCGAACATAAGGGGCCCATATACCGGTCAAACCTTGTCGGAGCAAACACGCCACCACGGAGTTTACCGGAATCTGCCCAAAACTCGCTAGAATTCATCACTGCACACCGGAAAAGGCCGTTAGACGCCGCAATCGAACGCCGCCGGTTCGAAAATTGGACGAGGTCGACATCGCCGTGGCCTCCCATGGCCTCAGCCTGGCCGCCGGAATCCTCGCGGCGCGGCAGGCAAAGGGGCACGGCTCGGCCGACGCGGGTGGAAATAGAGCAAGGCGCGGACGGCGGAGGCGACGGGGCATGGCCGGCGTGGTGACGGGGCGCGGCCGACGGGCGACGGGGCACGACCGGCAGGGACGGGGCGCGGCTGGGGGAAGGGGCGGCAGCGGCCGGACTCGAGGAAGGACCTCTTTATCTCAGTTTTACAGTATCTGTTCGGTCGTAGCTAAAATAAACCTTTAAAATGCATTTTTTCCAACCCGTATCCCAGTTTTACAGTTTGCGATTTGAAGGAGTCTGCTAGAGATGCTTTTATATTTGAATTTTGTTTATGATTTTGATCGAATCAACAATTTCTCAAGGCGCTATCTCATTTAATTAAGGCAATCAATTTTGGATTTGATTCACTATTTTTACTGGATCGATGATTCCTCAATTAATCGGCAACAACCAGCCTACAAACACAGCAGTCCCACATATCCTCTCACTACCTAGAAAATTGAACCGTCAACATGCGACACTGTTGTTTCAATGTAATACATTCGGCCACCAGCGTAAGAAACTTTCCTATATAAATATAAGTTGATTAATAGATAAACCATAATCACACTGCCAAGAAAGCCCACTAGAACACACACCATCTTCCGCACACGTCAAACCAAATAAACAAAACAATTTTTTTGAAATCCCAAGAACACTACCGGCGCGACAAAGCGCGGTCAACCTTTCTAGTAAGATGTTTATATCTCGTCCAATCCCTTCAATTTTATTTACTCCGCATATTAGCTTTGTCTCAAGTCAAATTTTGTAGGCTTTGATTTTTTTTCGAGGAACCGGCAGGAGCACTGCCTTTTCATTTCAGACGAAAAAGAGGGTTTATGTACAAAGGTGATAGGTTTTTCCAGAGAAACCTGACAAAACCCTTATAAGAACCGTTGTGGTATGCTATGCCGGTCGCCACTTGTGCCCTGCCAAAGGCGCAAGCCCGCATTCTTATGTCGTCGAGCGCGATGGCCGCCACCTCCAGGTGAGTGAGGCGGGTGCCGATGAATATCCGGCGGTTGCGCTCCTTCCAGATATTCCAGATGGTGTAGAGGAAGTGACCGCTACACCGGTGTCTTTCGTCCTTGGACAGGGGATAGATGAGCCGATCCCACCAGTCGGAGACTCCCATGGGAGGCGGAATTGTCATCATGTTCGTTGGCGCCTCCCCGGTCCATGCCTGAACATGCGACCAAACCGCAATCGCAAATGGGCAGTCCTTGCAGAGGTGAATTGCCGTCTCCGGTGCTCCCAGACACAGCGGGCATGTAGGATCGTGCGGCCATCTGCGAATAGCGAGCATGTCGGCCGTGAGGATTTTTCCATGGAGCACCAGCCAGGAAAAGAGCTTGCATTTGGGTTCCGCGTGTGCCTCCCAAATCTTCGTCGGCGAGAACCTGGGGAAGGAGCCAGAGAATTGGGCTGTATATGTCGAAGCCGCGTAGTAGATTTCATTTGTAGTCCAACGCCAGGAGACGGAGTCCTCCCTGTCCGTAGACAGTGTAACCTGGGAGGTCAGAGATGCTATTGAGATGAATTCCTTCTGATCCAAGTTTATAGAAAAAAATATTTAAGAAAAGAAAAGCAAACCCACAACGTGTCGTATGGTCATCCAAGTCCAAGCAGCACCTATGAAGTATAATTCCATATTTCATCAAGGTATGAGATTGCTAACCAGGCCTGCTGCCTGGTGATAGCCTGCTCGCCAAACAAGGTTATAAACACGTTCGTTCTACCTTACGCACGCGGTGTGGTACTAAACGTACGGCAGAACAACATATCCGGGGCGGCGCGCGCCACAGTGCACCGCGTTGTATCTCCGGCCAACCTACCCGCTGAGTTTGAGGCCAGGCCCGTCCGGTAAAGCGATGCCTTCGGGCTCCGGCTTCGTCGCCCAGTGCCCACTCATCATCCGTCCCGTTTAATGTTCAAAAATTACGAGAAACAGAGAGCGCTATAGGGTCCAAAATTACAGGCATACAAACTGACAACCATCCTGAAGACGCCAATCTACGCAAGGGATACGAGCTTCTTAATAAGACATCGAAACGCGGTCAAGGTAGCATTAATCTGCGGAAGAGATCCTGTGGTAACCAGCGTTGAGTTCAGAGACGAGACGCTGAACGCCATGGAGCGTCGGGGTTATATTGTCGGTGTGATCCATCCAAATTCCAAGGTGGTGA